AAGTTTTGTGTATATTGGTTAAACTTGTGATGACAGTATATATACTAACATAAAATTGGTTATTATAATATAATAAAATATATACAAACATAGAGTCGAATCATAGATACTTTCTAAATCAGCACTTACTTATTATTAAAATATAATCTAGATTACCACAAATATTACATACATGGTTTTCATTAGAATTGTGTTCTACTCGACAAATTTACAAAGATTAGTAAAAATAAATATATGATTGCAAAGTTTAAATTAATAATATAGTATTGTAATTAATAAATTAATGAATCAAATAAAAATTATTTAAACATGATATATAAGTAAAATAACCAAAAATAGTGGAGAACATTGTTTTATATATAATTACTAATTACACATTAATAAATATTGAAGTTCATAAATTAACGACTCAGCTAAAAACTAATAAAAACATGACACATAAGAAAATAATCTAAACTTATGAAGAAATTGACACATGAACAGTAGAATCTAATAAAAATATGACACATAAGAAAATAATCTAAAATCATGAAGAAAATTGACACATGAACAGTAGATTTGAGTTTATATTGTAGTAATTTTTAAGTGAATAATATTTCCAATAAGAACAAGAAAAATGGGCTTCTTTTTCTAAATGTCATTATTTGCAAGTTATTATAAGTGGGCATATTGACAAAACTTATGATGACCATATATATACTTACATAGAATCGGTTATTATGATATAATATAATATATACTAACATAGAATCAAGATCAAATAGTTTTCTCTGTATCAAAATTTACATATTATTATAATATAACTTGGATTATAATAAATATCACATACATGGTTTTCACTAAAATTGTTTATATCTTGTATATTTACATGAACTTAACCATCATTTTGTGTATATATTTATCATTTAGAGTATCATTTAGGTTTGTTTAGGTTGCAAGGCATTGCATTTGTGTATTTTTAGGTTTGGAGAAGTGTTAATTAGGTTTTGGAGTCAAATGAGTTGTAAAACGTTCAAAAGAGTGAAGAATCTTGCAGAGGGGCAGAGATTCTCGTGGGCAACCACCGCGGCTGAAGGGTGGCCGTGGCCGCACATGACACATTTAGACAGAAAATCCCGTGGGATACCACCGCGGGTTTTGAAGGGGCGTGGTTGGCGTTCGTCCAAAGAGGCAGAGAATCACGCGGCCTACCACCGCGGCATGAAGGTGGTCACGGCCAGAGCATGACGACCGCAGGCTAGAGTCGTGGCAGTGGGGTGGTCGCGGCCATTGTTCGAAGCAAAGTTCACCCATCTTTAGTTGGGTGAGCCCAGGGTTGTTGGGCCGACCCGGTTCGAGTTTTAAGCTTCTATAAAAACATTTTAGACATAATTTTAGAACTTATCTTCTTTTCTCTCAAAAACACATTGGAAAGTTGAGTTCTTGATTAATCTAATCTTTGTTTCTTGAGTAATTTGAGTCTATCTCTTCTTTTAATCATGATTAGTCTTCTATCCATCATGGATTTAGGATTAAACATGAAGATTAGTGAGTAGATTCTCTTTGAGTTTATGGGTTAGGGTGATTAGGATGATTAAGTGATGATCTAGGGTGATTAGTGTTAGATACTTCTTGTTCTATGCTTATTACTTGATTTTGATCTAGATTAGAGATAACCCTTCTATTCTAGATCATTGCCCACAAGGTGTATGATGAAATGCCTGAACTAAAGTAATAATGCTTTTTGCTTGCTTAACCAAGGACACTTCATGTTAGGAAGGCTTAGATGGTTAGTAGACTTGTTCTTATTGATTGTTTGATTGATTTAGACCAATGACCTTTGTGTTTAGAGATTGATAGCAAATGAGTTTTTACCTTGATAAGGACTAGCTTAGAATTGTGTCTAGACCTATAGGATATGAATGATTGTTTGAAAGCTCACCTTATATAGTAACTTGATCACCCAAAGTCAACATCCTTACCCATAAGTTCTCCTTTCTCTTTGAAACAAAGCTTAGTTATTCTTATTTACTTACATTTTAGTTACATTGTTACTTGTAAATCAAACCCCTTTGATTGCATTTAGCTTAATACAATGACTTGCATTCTCTTTGTTCATTAGCTGGAAGTGTGTTATGATACGGAAGGATACATGGAGGTCTTGGTTCAATGGAAGAATTTACCAGCTCATGAAAATTCTTGGATACGTGTAGCGGCTGTGAAGCATCAATTTCCAGATTTTCTACTTGAGGACAAGTTAGTGCTACTCAATGGGGGTATTGATAAGTCATTGCAAGTGTATACTAGAAGAAGGGAGAGAAGGAAGAGGAATGCTTTGGAGAAGTAAAAGGGAGTTTCTTGTTCATTAAGTAAAGAATTCAAATAATGTAATTGGGCCTTGAGTAGAAAAAGATCCAATTGTTTTACAGTTCAGTTACGCAAATATTCAGATTGTTTGTTAGGATCCAAGATTGTAATTCGGCTTGAGTCTTCAACTTGTGAAGATCAGAGGGGTGGTTGGGAGGTTAGATTAAAATATATTCCAAAGTTCTTATCAGTTTGCGATTCTGATATTGGTCCACGTGGGTTGTTTACCAGCTCGTCTACAAAAGCTTAGCTGAGGTCCAAAGAACTTGAGAGAGAGAACACAGTACTCATTTAAAAGCTTAGCATTAACAATCACAAGTTTTCCGAGATCCTCTCCACAAGGAGAAACTGACACGACGAAACAAGGAGGGGTCTGATGAAGCAAGGAAGAAAAAGATGAGTAGATATTAGAGCTAAGAAGGAGGTTCCCCATGGCTCTGCTCTTATCATCTAACGTGTGAGTCATTGCAGAGGCTGATGAAGACAAAGCCGTTTGTTTGTCGTTTTGCAGTTTGGGCTTCAACTGTTGGAAGCCCAACTGAACTTGAGTTATTCTTTGTAACACATTCTCCTTATGCTCTGCGTTTTTGTTAGTTTATTGGAGTTGTTAAGTTCCATCCATGTTAGTTACTCTAACTTGTTTTTTTTCAGGAGGATCCAAGGCCCAAGAGTGGTCTTAGGTAGAAACAACAAAGTGGTGCATAAATACATAATATCTAGGTCCAGTTCTTGATGTCGAATTTATCTCTGGTGGGAAGCGGTTTTTTTCAAGCAGAAATATAAGTGAAAATGTTGTTATAGTTTGGAATGTTTAGAAAGATATTCTTTTGTCTAACAAAGTCAGTTTGAAGCAATAGTAATGGATTTGCTGTAAGAAACGTCTGTAGTTTGTAACCCGAAGAATTGCACCTTTCTGAAACAGAGGCATGGATGGGGTTGATAATTGCCTTGGACCATCATGACCAAACCGCTAAATAAAAGGACCCAAACGATTCCATTTATCCCACCAGAAGCTAAACCTTTACCCATTACCAACCCGAGCACGTAAGCAACGTGAAGCTAAAAGATGAAGGAGAGATGTCCAAGTCCAAAACCTTGCCTTTATTCTATTTGCTTTTATTCATTCAGCCCAAAGAGAAGATCCATTATCGAACAAGAACCAGATCAATCTAAGACATTTTCTTTTGTTGTTGTTTTCCGGTGGCTATCAGGCCTATGAATAAGGATACACATATATACATGCCCTTGCATCAAACGTCACCTACAAGACCAACTCTTCAACGCAACTTCAGCCGACGAAAAAACCTTAGTCTCTGGCTCATCTGATGGTTTCTTTTGGTTAATGAGCTCAGTGATCATCTTATTGCTTGGCACAAATTAGATAAAAAAAACAAGAAAGTCGATGTCGCTGCGTTGATGTCGTATACCACCCCGTTTTGCTAAGACTTTTACATACTTATTTCTTGGCACAAATTAGATTAAAAAAAAACAAGAAAGTCGTAATTTGTGGATTAGAGAAAGTGATCAACTAATCCAAAGGCGCATTTGGCCTAAGAAATTTCTCTTGTGCTGTCTCGCAGTTATGGCGTTCCTGATGTCTCTATCTATGAGTTTGAACACTTGTAGAGGAGAGAGATGGACGCTCTTGTGGAGGGCATTATTACGCTGTCTCCAAATGAGGTAGATCATTCCATGAAGAGCAGCTTCCTGAGGGTTGCAGGACAAGAACAATCTCATAGTGACCACAGTGGTTTGTGTATATATCTCTTTATGTTAATTATCTAAAGATATTCCACAAAATAAAGAAACAAATCTGATTAACTAATTGTTTATCATCATCTTGTGACCATTTTTCGTAATTATCTCTTTATGTTAACTATACATTCTTTAACTGGGGGTGTATATATGTATTGACGACAGCAGAATCTTGAGTTGGGATATAATCTGTTAAATTAAAGTGTTCAACTTGAATGGGTTTAGTGTCAGAGTTTCTACTAATTATATGCGAGCGTGAGACTGACTCACTGACACATAACATATATGCTCTCTGAAATGTTTCAGGTTACTAATGAAATTTCTTGACCGTTTTACATATTTATTATGGTTTGTATTTTGTCTATTTTACAGAAAGTTCTCTCTAGTAGATCATTAATTCCATTACTTATCACGTAAAATAATCTAAAAATTCTTTTTAAAATTTAAAAAATAAGAAATAAAAATGACGTTACAAAGACACACACAAAATGTGATGATATAAAAAGAACTTGGAAACGTGTTGACCTTAAAAACACTTCATATAATAGATCTTGCAGAGCTCTTTTGCTCTTTTTATAAGAAATCAAAATATGGTAGCCATGCAAATATAGAGTTGAATAAAAAAATTATGTACATTTATGTAAGATAACTTATTACAAGTATTTGTAATAAGGTGCGTATAGGGTAACGAATTTTGTAGCTATGCTTTTAAATTATTTTATCTTATCGTTAAACTTGAGAAAATGTGTCGTGAAAACATTTTAGAATACAGCATTATACTACGTTACTGACCGCCAATATATACTCTCCCCGAAGAAAACGCAAAACAAAAATGGTTTGCAAGCAATAACTTTTATTTGTCGTCACAAAAATAATGAAAATAACCACGGGGTGGTGGGCTAGTGGTCTTGAGGCAGTTTCAACGCCAATAAGGACCCGGGTTCGAATACCCCCTGTGACCACGGAATGCCTTACGCCCTCCCCAAGTTGAGTTAAGCGTCGCGTTGGTGCCATCGTGTTCTTTGGGTAATGGGTATTGGTGCCGGCTGGTTCCGGGCCAGGGGGATTAGTTGGTTGAGTTAAGCGAGGCGTTGGTGCCATCGCGTCCGCCTTCGAACCTCCTGTTAAAAAAAAAAAAAAAAAAATAATAATAATAATGAAAATGACAAAGAAATGGAACAAAATGCATGAACGGGTGTTACTCATCAATTATGTGGCCACTAACAAGTGTATCAGCTCAACTGAGATATCCCACCAGTACTTATTTATTAAGGGCTATAACCCAAATATCAGCTTGCAAGTAAATGACTGGCACACTACAAGAAAAAAAAACATTGATTGTGTTTCTTACCTACAATGGAAGTACAATAATATAATCATGAATATATATGCGATGTAAAGCAATGCATATGTTACAACTGTAAATATCACTTCATATACTTGCGAAATTCATCAAATAACAGTAAAACAGTGCTCACAATATTAGGAGTGAACGTTCGGATACCAATTCAAGTTCGATTCGGCTTTATCAAATTTTGGAGTTACAGATTTCAGCCCCATATAAATACTTATAAATTTTGGTTGGATCATTACGGGTTCGATTCAAATTTGAATAATCCATTTAAATTACTTTTAACATTTTACATGTCATATATACTTTTAATTTCTCAAAACATAAAGATGAAAATAATATATTATAAAGAAAGTTTAGTAATGTATGATAAAAAAACCTAAATTTAACATAAAGTTTGGTTTGAATTAAATATTTGGATGGAAAATCAATATATATTAAGTATTTTTGGTGTTTAAAATATTGCTTAATTATTTTAGATATTTACTGTTGACTATTTTTATATATTTGTAATATTTTGGAAAACTTCAAAATATTGTTTACATTTTAGATATAATTTTGGATATTTACTCTAAAAGTAGTTAATATGTTTAAATATATAAATATGATTTGCATATATTCGAATATTCGAAATATTTCAGTTCGCATTAGATTCAGTTCCAATTTTCTAGATACCAAAATTTTGAATCTATTTAAATATTTAATAAGTTTTGTTTGGGTTTGGTACTACTTTGTTAGATCTGATTCGGTTTGTTTTTTTTGTCCAGTCCTAGTTCACATGTATGATGCTTATACCATATAAGTATGGTTTCTCACATATTTATCCGAGTTTTTTGGTGTAGAATATGGACGTTCTCATAAAAATGTAATCACAAAAGGATAATGAAATGGTGAGACATATACCTTTTCATGGGGGAGAAATTGGAGAAAGTGGATACCAACACAAAAAGAAAAAAAGAAGTCTCCTTATCTTTCACACCCACTCACAAATAAACCGTAAAGAATATTATTGACACAATAAAAGTGATCATGCATATGTGACCAAAACACAAACGCCACAACACAACAAAAAGAGGAACTATTATCTTCAGAGAAAAATTAGAAACATATTCATTTGAAAACAAAACACAAATTCTCCATCTTATCATGATTCATCACATTTTCATCTTCTTCGTCTTCCTCTTTGTCTTCTTGATCGCACTAGGTAGACAGCCAAACAGTTCATTTCCAAGACATTACTTGGTCCACAAACACAAACCCTTTAAAGCTTAAAGGTTTTCCATTACTAAAGTTTGTCTTCAAAATGTATTTGCTGTATTGAATGAATCTAGTTATTACCACATTTCATCTGCAGGTGGCTAGTTAGTATTTAAATGCTCATATATTTTTAGCCATTAGAAATAATATCCGCCTAATATTATGTAAAAATACCATGTCCCTAAGTCCCGCTGATTTCTGACATATTAAAATCATCGACGAATTTAAAGATCTGCTAGTCATATGGTCTATACTGTCAAAATCAAAATCAATCTAAACCAAATTAATCTCATTGTAAAATACAGTCGAAACTTCTACCCAAACGACATGTACATGACGTATGCGCATATAAATAAGTTTTTTAAACTAGCTAAGAAGATCCTAAGACTATTCCCTAGTCCAACATCGATGTTCTAAATAATAGTCAAATCTGATTTGATCCTATTTGTTTGCCGTGTATTTTTCCTCTTTACCTTTTAATTTTCATAACAAACCCTTTTTCGTATACAATTTTATATTTTCCCCGTTTTGTAGATAACTCAACTGGAACTTTCCAGATTGGGGCCGAATGTATGCGTCTACTATCGTTACTGTATTTCTAACCTCTGGTTTTATATTTGAATATATTGTTTTGTGCAAACATATTTATGCACCCTACTTGCCTAGCTATTAAGCCTACATCTACACAACTCTATGTTTTCCACTTATGTCTTGAGTTTGTTCCCCACCTTCTTTGGTTTCCAACAAAAGATCATCTCCTTTTCTTTTTTTTACTTTCTTTTTTCCGAACGATTCCTTTCTTCTTGTAACATATAACAATATATTATTTCTATCAAATTTAATAAAAACGCCATCAGAACCGACTCTGGACCCAAGCAAAAGAAACATGGATTTGCGGTCGCCAAATAATATGAATAAAATCGGTCACATTTTCTTAAAAATATGTCTGTAGTGTAGTGATTATTTAACCATTACTCTTGCGCCCACAGCAGAATTCGAACCCTCCCACCTATAGAAATTTTTTTTCCGGCCATTTTTTCTATTTTGGTTTCTGGCCTTTAAAATTCTAGGCCAGGCTCTGAACACCACTAACTATATCCAATCTACAAAACTTCATTGCATCATCAGAAACCTCACAATCTTACTTATTTTCCATGCTCTCAACCCCACACATGACACATCTAAAGTTTTTTCAGTGATGCGACAAGAATCAGCAGTACTATTGTTTTTCTCTGTAACTTCAGCAGTATAATTGTTGGTTGGACTAACTCTGTCAAAGTTCTAGCCAAGTCATGTACTATGCATGGCATCCTGTTGATGAGGTAAATGATGCGTCTAGTGACTATAGTTCACATATGATGGAAAGACCGTTCAAGAAAAATGTGTATGGCGTCTATCCAACGCCTAAAACCATTTATCGGTTTTTTGACTTTGAAACGGTTTGTGTATAAAATATCTTTAAAACATAGTAATAAGTATACATGTTTAATAAATCCACTGACATGAAATTAGTGTTTTTATGTTACATCCATGTAATAACTAAAAGCTCTATTCGTTTTCAAGGAAAATGATATAAAGAGTACTTGACTACTTGGGGTCAAGCGAGTGTTCGATAGGTATATGGACCCACCGGAACGGGTTATTGGAGACATGAACCGATGGGCTTAAAAGTTCTTACGACTTAATTAAGAGTTAACACATTTCTTCACTTCTCATTGGATATTAACTTTATGGTCTCACGACATTTTGATGCACCGTGTATATATTTATAGATATACTAGGGAGAGTAGTTCAGTATCAAAGTAACTTGGTTTGTTAATTTTATTTGTCTCTAATATGCTTCTTATTCATTCGCTTAACCATGATTCCATTGACCTTTATATAGAAAGCATAACCTTGCCTGAAAGAAAATAATGCTTTGATTTTAAAAAGAAAAAAATATTAATAATTAACTTCACTTTTAGACACTTTAAGACTTACAACGTATAACATAATATGCTTCGATTTAGACATCTAATTAGTATACTATCACGCAAAGAAGTAGAACCGTTCTTAGCAAAATAAAAATAAAAAATACAAGTAGAACCGTCTTGACCAAAAATGAAAAAAAATACAAGTAGAACCGTCTATTTTTATTCTTAATATACAACCTTTCTTCTAAATTGAGTATGGTTTATTTTTATATATGAGATGCATTAAAGGTTAGAGGTTTAATCTAAAATTAACTGATAGTAAATAAATTGGCATTTGGCTGTTATATTAGTTATGTCTTATTTCAAATGTAGAATTCTGGACAAGCTTTCTCGATAAAAAATACATGTTTTTAGATATTTATCTTGAATAAATTTCTTGACAAGTTTTGGAAGTTTCGATGTAATATAAAAATGTTTATGAACGATCAAAATATAGAAGTTATAAATAAAATACAATCATATACTCTCTTCGTTTTATTTTAAATGTCGTTATAGATAATTTTTTTCGTTATACAATAAATGTTATTTTCGATTTTCAGTGTAAATTTATTAAATTTATTATGAAATTTATTTTTCTATTGATTAAAATGTGGTTAGGTGTATATATAATTCTATTTTTATATAAGAAATATATAAAATTATTATTTTCTTAATTCGTGTACTCAACTCTAAAATGACACTTATAATTAAACAGAGGAAATATTTTATTTTAACTATCGAGGTTTTGTATCTTATGATAGTTATCTTAACCATGCTACCTGTTTCAGTTAGTAAAATTGTCATCTCCATTTTCCAACGGCCTATGATTTTAGTGAAGGTAATGTGACCTGTCAAATTTCAATTTTTTGAAAATTGTGATTTAGTTTTATCCTTAGTTGTCTATAGGATAAAATTGACTCGAAAAAACTGGTTTACCGCTTATAAAATTAGCATAGTTAATTAGAGAATGCTAACGCCTAGCTAAACTGTCTAATTTTTATTTGAAACATCTAATCTGACTAATTAAAACTTAATAGTTGGGTTCTTATGTGATTGAAAGGATCTATCTTTAGAGCGTTAACTGTGCCATCTTTTATTGACCCATCTTGTCAAACTTTAATTTCTTGGATTCATATGAATGTTTATCTTTTCCGAAATTGCTAATCACCCGTGCTTTTCATCGTCCATTAATTCCAAACCTAAGTCTTGAGCCTACAATCCATGATAATAAATAACATAGTCAGTGTGATAATATATAATATCAAATAGAAATTACTAACATAAAACTTTAAAAGTAATATCAAATACTCTAACATATTAGAAAAATGCAAAAACTTGCAAAGGTAAAATCGATACTCATTTTTCATATTGTAGTAGCATGTGATTTGTCTCCATACCATCCGTTTTTCTGCTTTTAGTTTGTTGTGTTACCAACTTTTTCATATTTCTTAGAGCATCTTTCAGAAATCATTCCGTCTTGTGTTAATACTTAATATTGTAAATGTGACATTTGCCCCTATACATAGAAAGTCGCAAGTTTGAATCTATTATCACTCATGGGTTTAATTAAGCAAAGAAAACTAAAAATGATCAATTCATTTGATTTTTAGTTTTTTTTTTCTTTTGAGAAAACTAAAAATCAATTT